CCAGCTGCACCCTCTCCAAGAAATATGTCTTTGTTCTTTTGGTAGTTCATGGGATGTTCCATGCTCTTCTCCAACACCACAACTCAAAAGCATCAGTTCTTCTGTCTTCCCTTTTCATTGTCCAGCTCTCAGATGCATAGTAAGTGATTGGAAAAAAAACCATAACTAGAATCAGAAGCACCTTACTCCTCAAACTGACATCATCATTCCTAAATAACTTGCTGAGTTTCCTAACAGCAGACTTTCCCAGTGCAATGTGTCTCCTTATATCCTAATTGCTGGTACCAAGGTTGTTAATGGTGGATCCAAGCAAAATGAAGTTGTTGACAGTTTCAATTTCTTCTCCATCCATCATGATGTTGCCTATAAAAAATGTTTGTTTTCTTAACATTGAGATGTAATTCATACCGAAGGCTGCATTCTTTGATCTTCTGTAACAAGTGCTTCATGTCCTGCACATTTTCAGCAAGCAAGGTTGTGTCATCTGTATATGAGTCTCCCTCCAGCCCTGATGCCACACTCCTCTTGATAGAGTTCACCTTCACAAATTATTTGCTCAGTATACAGATTGAATAGGTATGGAGAGAGTATACAACTCTGATAGATTACCTTCTTCATTTTAAACCATGCAGTATTCCCCTGCTTTGTTTGCACAACAGCCTCCTGATCTAGCTATAGGTTTCACATGAGTACAATTAAGTGCTCTGAGACTCCCATTCTTCTCAATCTCAGCCACAACTTGTTGTGATCTACACATTCAAATGCCTTTGCACAGTCAATAAAGCACAGAAACGTTATTCTGGTATTCGTTACTTACAGCCAGGATCCATCTGACATTAGCAATGATATTCCTAGAGCCACAGCTTCTTCTAAATTCTGCTTGAACTTCTGGTGGTTCCATATCTACGTACTGTTCTTCTGTTCTATTTTTTAAAATTATCTTCACCAATATTTTGCTTATATGTGATATTAATGATATTGTTTGATAATTTCCACATTCTGTTGGATCACCTTTCTTGAGAATGGGAACAAATAAGGACCTCTTCCTATCTATTGGTCAGAAAGACATCCTCCAAATTTCCCATCATAGACTATACACCCTGTATCTGTTAATTTGAACTGTTGGAATTCCATTGATTCCTAGGGCCTTATTTTTTGTTAATGACTTCAATTCAGCTTCTTCTTCCTCCTTCATTACTATTGGCTCCTGTTCATATGGTACTTGCTGAAATTTTTCAATGTCAATCAGTTCTTTTTGGTATAGTGAGTATGTATATTCCTTCCATCTTCTTTTGATGCTTTCTGGGTCATTCAATCTATTCCCCATAGCATCTTTCAACATTGTAACTCAAGGTTTATATTTGTTTTTCAGTTCTCTTAGCTTGAGAAATAGAGAGTGAGTTATTCCATTTTTATCCTCTCTATGCATTCTATTATAGAAAATCCACATTCAAGAAGCACAGAGAACACCAAATATAGACTCAAAAAGGAAAACATCAAGATGTATTATAGTCAAATCCTCAAAATTAAGGGATAATGATAGAATCCTAAAAGCAGTGTGAGAAAAACAAAGAGTCACCTAGGAGAAACCAGTTAAGTTCTGATTTCTCAGCAGAAACCATGCAAACTACTAGACAGTGGGATGGCATATACAGAAGGTTAAAAGAAAACAATTGCCAGCCAAGGATCTTACACTAAGCAGAAACTTAAGGAATGTGTGAAAACAAGGCCAAAACCACAAGAAATTTTAAGTGAAGTCCCTCACACAGAGATGTCAAAGGAAAGTTCATGGACCATAGTAACAAGAATCAACAAAGAAAGAAACACAGCAAAATGACAAAAGTAAAACCTGGCCTGACAACAGTCACACTTAATGTGAATGTACTAAATGTGCCAATCAAGAGAAAAAGAGTAGCAGAATGGATAAACAAAAAAATATGTTGCCTACAAGAGACACATCTGAAAAATGGAAAGAAAGACTAAAAATCAAAGACTGGAAAAAATATTCTAAGCAAATGGCAACCACAAAATAGCTGGACTATAAATACCAATCTCTGATAAAATAGATTTTAGAATGAAAACCACCATAAAAGGTAAGGAAGGGCATTACATACTGATTAAAGGCACAATAGATAAAAAAGACATAACCTAGATCAACATTTACGTGCCAAATGATAGACCGGCAAAATATATAGTATTTTGCTTTATCCTCTTGAGCTGCCCTTTGAAATCTTATTTTCAGATTTTACTTCACATTATTTTCCTTTTGTTTTAGGTTCTTGATGTTCTACTGCCATTTTCAGTGTCTTCTGATAGCCATTTTGCTCCCCCCCTTATGTCTTTAATGACCATGATGATATCATCCTACAATTCATCCAGTCTTCAATCATCGGTGTTCAGTGCCTCAAACCTATTCCGAAGATGGTCTTGAAAATCAGATAGAATAGATCCAAGATCTTATCTTGGTTCTTGTAGAACATATTTTAACTTTCTTCAGCCTCAATCTGAACTTGAATAGTAATTGGTGGTCTGATTGATAGTCTCTCCTTGGCCTAGTTTTGACTACTGGTATTGAACTTTTTCAATGAGTTCTTCCACAGGTGTAGTCAATCTGATTCCTATGTAACCAATCAGGTGAGACCCATGTGTAAAATCATTTGTCTCTTTATAAAGGGAATTTACAATGAATAAATCATTGAAAATAAAAATTTGATCATTTTATTTCCAGCCTCATTTCTATCACCAAGCCCATATTTTCCAACTACTATTCCTTCTTGGCTCCACAATAAACACTCTTGGTACCAGCAGCCAGGAAATCAAAAGATGAATTGTATTGGGAAAGTTTTCTTTCAGGGACATCTCCTGAGTACTGAAGAACAATGACATCATTCTGAAGACTAAGGTGCACCTGATCCAGGCCACTGTCTTTGCAATTATGTGCTATGCATCGGAAAGCAGGACAATGACTAGGGATGATAGAAGAGTTGAGTACTGAATATACCATGGACTACTAGAACAAACAAGTTCGTCCTGGAGAGGGTGAAGCCAGGTTTCTCTTTAGAGACAAGGATTCTGAAGCTTTGTCTAACATATTTTGGACATGTTGCAAGGAGGGACTAGTCCTTGGTTGAGCGATGTCATGCTTGGAAGGGTTAAGGGGCAGCACAGGAGAGGAAGACCCTTGATGAAATGGATTGATTCAGTCACTGCGGTAATACGGATAGGTGTATTGGAGACAATAAGATTGGCAAAGGATAGAACAAGGTTTTAGGGCTGTTGTACATAGGGTTTCTATGAGTTGCGGGTGACTTGGCAGCACATAACAAGTTCTTTTGAGTCTTCGCTAAGTTCCTAATTGTTCTTTCCTTCATGTAAGGTGGTGTGTTGAAGTTTCCTACCATTATTATAGAGTCATCTCTCTTTAAACCTGTTAAACTTCTGAGTGTTTTGTGACCCCTTAATTTAGTGCGTGAATATTATAGACACGTCTGCTTCTTCAATTAATCATTTGGTCACTATATAGTGCCTTTCCTTGTCCTTTATGCTAGATTTTCTATAATTAATCAGAAATTAATATGAGCAGAAAGAGAGTAGTTCCTACATTGTGTAAACAGCTGTTGAGAACTACCATGCTGAGCTGTTTATAATTCTGGGTTCTGTCTCCTTATTTGATGGTTTCATTCAGTTTCTTCCATCAGTGTTTTATTTTAAAGTACTTCTTTGTATTTTCTCTTTAAATTTAGTGTTCTAGAATTATCAGCATCCTAGGAAACGACATGTCTCTACAAGACAGGGTACTGGCTGTGGCTGAGGAACAGTGGTGGAAATCAAACCTAGGCTTCCTTTAAGAAAGTTGAGAACTATACCACTAAACTGAAATGTACTTCTCTAGCTATAATATGTGGCATAAAACTTCTTGTGAGATAATACATTATATTTACTGAAAAATTAAAGCCACAGACACTGAAAACATCCCAGATTTCAAAATTGTGTGGTGTTGGCAGAGTACTGAATATCCCATGGACCGCCAAAAGAAAAAGTCTGTCTTCGAGGAAGTGCAATCAAGGTGCTCCTTAGAGCCAAGGATGGGGAAACTTCATCCTGTATACTTTGTGCATGTTGTCAGGAGGGGCCAGTCCTTGGAAAAAGACATCATGATGGGCAAGGTAGAGAATAAGAGAGAGGAAAGGTAGACAGAGGAAGATCCTTAACAAGATGGATTGACACAGTGACTGTAACAACATACTTGAATACCACAGAGATCCTGATGATGGCTTGGGACAGAAGGTTCAGATCTGTTGTTTGAAGGGTTGCTAAGAGTCAGAGTTGACTCAATATCACCTAATACAAGAACTTATATGTTAAAGAATCAATAATAGCAAGAGAAATGCCTTACATTTTTATATCTGTTCCTCACACCAGTTCTACTACAGTTATTGTGTACTGTCAAGGCTGGACCAACTCAAAGCTGACCCTTCAGTGGATTTTCAGAGGCAGTAAATTGCGTAGGAGATTTTCCTTTCTCCCATGGAACAGCTAGTACATTTGAACTTCATACATTTGGGCTGGTAGCACAATTCCTTAACATTAGGCTACCAGAGTTTACTACTGTATTTGTACTTGCATTACAATTTGAGACAAAGATATGCATTTAAATCTGCAAGTTGCTCCACACACCAATCTCTTTTTAGTAGGGCTTTTTTCAATGACATATAAGGTTATGAGTCAGAATTAGCTTAACAGCAATGGACATGATAAGGTTTTTAACAAAATCTGCTGTATAAAGATACTTTTCTCATAAAACAGCACAATAAAAAACTCTTATCTAGGCTACAAGGAAATTTCATTATCAGTTCTATTAGATTTATTGGTAGGATACTAAACATATCTTTTTTTTAAAAATTACATTATTTATTAAAGGAATATAAAAAGTTCTTTTTTTTCATTATCAGTACACATACGCTATACAAAACAACGTGGTTTTAAAAATCACATAATTTTTACATTGTATATCCTGGAAGTTTATTTATTACTAATTCACAAATATCTTTGCATTGCTTGGAAATATTCAGTGAAGGAAGTTCCTCACTGTCTTCTTCAAATTGATCTGATGTGCTGCTATCCAGGGCTTTGAGTTTTAACCCTGACATATTAGATGGCAAATACGAACTCACTTGAGATGTCCTTGGTGATTGACTTTTTTCTGAAGACTTACAATCAGTCCTTGTTTTAAACTGAATATTAACATCTTGACGTCTTTTAATAACTTTAGGCTCAGAGGTACTAGTTTTGCCTATCTGATTATCATTTTCATCAATCCAACGTGATGACGAAAAGTCACTGGTAGAAGTAGTAGATGCTTCCTCAAAACTTTTAACCGGAGTCTGGGAAGGATGAGATCTTTTCCACGAGTGAACTGGTGACCCAGCTGAAAAGGGTGGGGTAAGAATAGAACTTTTCTCACTGCTGTTCTTCTGGATGTACAATCTACCTTCGCTAGACTTACTAGTATAATGACAATGTTCGGGATCCTCTGGGCTGCTTTCACGAGCTTGTACACTTCTGCTGGTGTCCTCTGTTGTAGAGAAATCTTCTGAATAGCCAGGGCTTGTAAAGTCATCAGAGTATTTCAGTTCTGAGATGCTTTCAGAGCAACTATTTTTACTTTGTTTACTTTCACTTCTACCAGCACCTAGAATGTCATTGCCTGTGGTTTTGATTTGCTGATCAGCACTTTCTTGACTTACAATTTTGTCAATAATTTCATCCTGTTGGAAAACACATTGACTTGGCACTTTGGGCTCCATTTTTCCTTCTGTTATGTTTGTATGAGTAAACTTTTCTGAAAGGATGGATTTCCCCTCACTTATTTCATCCAATGAGCCACTACTGGTTTTATTCCCACTATAATCAACATTCTTTTTCTCAGTTGCATGTCTCAGGGTAGGCTTAGTTGTACTAGGGTCATCAAAACCCCCAGTAACTTGCCTCGAAGCATTGCTATTTTCAGCAAAAGAGGCATCTAAAGCTAAACACTGACCTTCAGGTAGTGGATTTGACTTCCGATATTCTGTGAAATTTAAGACTTTAACTTTGGAGGATGGGGTTCTGAACTTTGTACCCAACATTTGTGATTTTCGATACTGCTCTCTCTTTTCATGTACTACCAACATGTCAGGATTTGTTTGCTTTAAACGCAGTTTCAGGGTATTTGTTATGCCATAAAGTAACGTCCCCCCTGGAACTCGTTTTGGGGGAATACTGCTTTTCTTTTCAAGACATACACTTTTCTTGGCATTTTCAACTTGACTCTTTCTATGCAGGGGACGAGCTGACTTTTCCTTCTCCCCTAAAGTAAGCCTGTCCTTGGGTTCTGCTTTACACAAGGATGTGGCATTCGAGTCTGGTGCCTTGGTATCCTCAGGTCTATATAACCAGGCGAGATGAGGATGTATGTGAGTTGGGTTTGTCAGGGGTTGGTTATATAACATGGACAGCTCAATCAGCAAAGCATTTAATAAGGGCAGCTGCCTTATAGTATTTATTCTATTCTGCTCCGTGTGAGAGGGACTTGGTGTTGGATTACTTGCTCCCACATCCTGACTATGTGTTGGGTGACTCATAAGGCCTGAAAGCCTCTCACTTGTTTTAGCATTCACATATTTCACAGGGCTGCTATGTGCTGGGGGATTTACAAACTGTTCTTGAAACATATCACCCAGCTCCTCAGGTGCGTGGATTTGTGGCGCAAATGCGATTTTGCCCGGAGTAGGAGGTGTCTTTTCCGGAGTCAGATGCGTGTAATACAGAGGAGGAGGACAAAACGTATTGGTTTCCATGTCCAGCTCTTCCTGATTTGGGCTCTCACATCTACTAGCAGGATTTGAACAGCGGGCAGCAGACTTGGTCTTGCCCTTGCTCGGGGCAGGAGGGCCTTCAGGGCTGCCATCCCGGCGGACGACTATGTCCTCGCCGTCCTCCTGAGCCATAGTGATCGTCAGATCCGCCAGGTGTCCACTGCCATCTCCTGGGCTTGGTCCTGCGGCCAGCTGACTTGGCTGCTGCTCGCCCCGCAGGTGTGGGGTGCTAAGCTCGCCTGCCTTGTGCCCCTCTGCCTGTCCACGTCCAGCAGGGCCCAATGGACGCTCCAGCGAGGAGCTGCCCAGGTCAGTCAGGCGGTAGCGCAGCGCGATGTCCCCGATTCGCTGCCCCTTGGAGCTGCACAAGGGGAAGCTTCCCTGATGGCCGTGGGAGCGGGCCGACGCAGTAGGGTCCAGGACCTTGCGGGCCGCGGTGGCCAGCGACACGCCACAGCTGCCCAGGAGCCGCGGGGTGGCCGGTGGGTCCCCGGGGGTCAGCTGCAGGGCCATCACTGACAGCGGGGTCTGAAGGAGCAGGCTGCGCAGGGTGAGCGGGTGCAGGCGGAACAGGCACGACTTGCCGCGACCGAAGCTGACCATGCCGGGCCGGGCTCTCGGGGCAGGGCTGCCGGGAGGATAAACCAGCAAGGTGGGGAAGTCCAGCAGGCGGAAGGCGACCAGGCAGAGGGGGCTGGACGGCGGCGTGGCAACAGCCTCCTCCGCTGCAGCCACGGGAGCAGGCAGCACGCCTGCTTCAAGACACAGCCAGTCTACGAGCAGCTCCAGTGAGAAGAGACTCTCCGCTGGCAGCGGGGCCATTGCTGCTGGCCCAGGAGACACCGCCGCCACCGAGAGGCTTCAGGGGAACCGGCAACAGAAGCGCATCTCGCGAGATTTGAGCGAACGCGGCCCTGAGCCTGGATGTCACGGTATCTGGGTGACCGGGCCTCCCGTTTATGGATCTCGCGAGATTGGAGTTAGTGGCTGAAACGGAGATGTCGCGAGTTTTCAGCGGGCGAAGTTGTGGTCGTGGACTAAATGTAATTATCTTTTCTTGAGTGTCCCAGACTTGACCTGGCTTGTGGGAGCTGCTGTATCTTCTTAAATTTGTATAACTTGAATTGTTTGATAAAATTGCCCACACCATAAATGCCAAGATACAAGAGTCATGTTTTTCTGACTGCAGATATCATACAGTTTAGGAATCTTAACAGATCTACTTGAGTAGAACCCATAATGACACTTGGAACCACAAATCCAAACCCTGTGCTATCCTGTGCCGTCCCCACAATCTCTGATGCGCTTGAGTCCATTGCAGCAATCATTTATCAGTCCACCTGGTTTAGGATATTCCTCTCCTTCACTGTCCTTTCACCTTCCCAAGGATAATGACACTTTTCAAGGATTAGCCTTTCCTCCCAAAGTTTATGTGAAATTAAGTTTCACCATCCTTGCCTCCAAGGAGCACTCTAGCTGCACTTTTTTCTTTTGGCAGTTCATGGTATCTTCAGCACTTTTCTCCAAAACCACGGTTCAAAGGCATCAATTCTTCTGTTATCCTTACTCATTGTCTAGCTATCAGATACGTAGCAAGTGGCTGAAAAGACCATAGGCTGAATCAGGCACACCTTAGTCGTCAAACTGACAATAATTTGGAATGATCTCTGACTGCAGACCTTCCCAGTGCAATACATGTCCTGATTTGACTGCAGATACTGTTTTGATTACAGATCCAAGTAAGATGAAGTCATTGACAGTTTCAATCTTTTCTCCATCCTTCATGACCTATTAATCCAGTGGTGAGGAATTTTGTTTTCTTGACATTGAGATGTAATCCATATTGAGGTCTGTATTTTTTGATCTGCAATAAATGCTTCAAGTCCTCACTTTCACCACATCTGATTTATCTTCAAATTATCTTAAGGAATAGGGAAATTAAATCTGGATTCCCTTGTCACCGTGATAAAGGAAATCAGCTTTCTGACGCTGATTAACTGTCTGTAGTCTGTTTTCTCTCTGGCTGCTTGCTGGTCAGCCTGTCTTCACGACAGGCACACTGCTGAGGCAGACCAGTTAGATCAGGTGACACAGAAAAGCGCACGCATGATGCATAGAGACACATTCTTCCAGCTGAACCATCACTGAGTAAGGAGAGGTTAATGATGCCTTTACTAAAACAAGATGAGTGAGCGCTTCCTGTGCGGCATCACAGGTTTGAGACCCACTCCTCACCACCAGCAGCCTGCTTGCTAGGACCCTGAGTCTGGTGTGTGGAGAGCTTTCTGTTTTCCATGTAAAAGAATGTGGACTGTTGTGTGGATAAGTAGTGAGCAAGACAATTTTTTAAAATCTTGAGAATCTAATAATAACTTGGATTCAGAGCAGTCCTTAAGCAGCTATTGCAGTGGTTCTGCTTGTCTGCTAAGGCCCGACCAGGAGCAGGGTCACTGGAATAAGAGGAGAGGCAGATAGAGGGGTGGATGTGATGGCAGCATGTAAGGGCTAGTGACTTCCATAGAATTTGTGGGTCGAAAGATTTTTGCAACCAAGGGAGAAAATGTTGACGAAGCACAGATTTGACCCAAAGATTCCCCAAAACGGCAAGATGATATAGAGTTTAACTGAAACGTTGGAAAGAAAAACTTGTGTATGTGGGCTGGTGAGGAACCAGCCTTGGAAGCCCTGTGGATCCCGAAGAGCTGGAATTCTCTCCACAGCCTGCAATAGCAGTGTCTGCCAGGCTTCATGCCGGTATGTTTATCCAGCATTATACTGTGTAGTGGTTTGACACTCCAAAAACATTGTGAAGCTCAAGAAAAATTCAGGGCTGGAAAGACTTAGTGACTTACTGTGGAAATCTATGGTTAGGCTTCATTATAATGCATCAAAACAAACAAAACAAAACCCTACCCCCCAAAAAAAAAAACCAACCCCCAAACTCATTGCAGTCAATTTGGGACAAACTCAGCTGACCCTCCACTGGGTTTGCAGAGTTGTCAATTGCAAGGGAGGAGATTGCTCATCTTTTCCCCTCAAAGCAGCTAATGAATTTGTACCACCACCTTTGGGTTGGCTGCTCAGCTCTCTACCCTCTAAGCCACCAGAGGAGTAATGTATAAATAGAATATACCACTGCAGACCCTGAAAGTCCTATATAGCTGCAGAGGAAACTTTAAGTGATGTGCTCAGTAGATGGATGATGCAAAATAATAATACATGATTCATTGACAGTTGTAAACTGAGTTCATGTATGCCAAAAAAGCACTCAATAGATAAAACTCCTCATAGAAGAGGATTAAGTCTCTGTAGTAAGATTAACAATGTAAGGTATTGGTTCTTATGTCTCCCATATGTGGAGAGAGAAGTAATTGTCCTTCTTTGCTTCTGTACTATGTAAAATTTCTGTTCAAATGAAAACTCACAATTGTGGTGTTGGTTCCAACTCAGCAATGCTCCCTCTGGTTTCTGAGGACGCATCTGGTAATGGGAAGAAATGGTCTTTCTCTTTGGAAATCCTGGTGGATCCATACTACCAGAGATGCATTTGAGTTAACAGCACCACTTACTATCCTGCCAGAGCTCCCTAAGGTTTGTAAGCTCCTCTGTCAGCTAAACTACATACATGGCTGGTATTCTCATGCATGAATCAAGCCCTCACTGCCATTGAGTTAGAATAAACTCAGCTGACTCTCCATAGAGTTTCCAAGGCTGTAAATTGCACAAAAGGAGCTCTCTCCAAGAGCAGCTGATGATTTTGAACAACCTGCCTTTGAGTTGGCAGTACCCCTCCTTACCCACAAGGCCACCATAACTCCCCAATAAAAGAAACTAGGCTGATCCTTGGAGGCAAGGAACCCCCCATCTCACATACTTTGGGCATGTAACCAGGAGGCACCAGTCTTTAGAGAAGGACATCATGCTTGCAAGGGTGAGGAGCACAGCACAGGAGAGGAAGACCCTAGATGAGACGGAGTAATTCAGTGACTGGGGTAATGGGGGTAGGTGTGTCAGAGACAGTATGTCTGCCTTAGAATAGACTCTTGCGCATACGGTTGTGATGACTCACAGGTGACTCAATGGCACAAAGCAACAAGTTATACTACCTGTAACAAGAAAAACTTTTACTATGACCATTTAAAGAGAAGACAGTGGTAAAAAGCATGGGTTCTGGAGGTAAACTGCATGGATCAACTCAAGACTCTGCAGCTAGTTTCCCAACTTCAATGTAAATCATTTCCTCTTCTGAAAAAATGAGGATAATTACAGCATATACCTCATAAACATATTGCTAGTATTATGTGAATATATACAGAACTCTTAGAATGGTGCTTAGTTAAATACCATATGAAATAAGTATTGATTATTTACCATGTAGATATCTTCTAAACTAAGGTCTTTTAAAACAATTAGAGATAATTTGCCTGATACTGTTACTAGAAGCAGTTGAGTCAACTATGTGATACAGGTCTATTATTTTCAATCTACAGAAGTTTGTTTATTCTTCCTTCTGCCTTTGGTGCAGTAATCATCTGAGTCACAAGGCTAGGTTTCGTATGAGACTGTATGTTAATCATAGTAGTAGTTTAACATATTATTGTTGTATTCCTTTGTGCCAGAATTGACCTATAGCTGACCCTCCAGCAGGTTTTCAGAGGTAGCAATCACACAGAAGGAGATTGCCCATCCTTTTCCCATGGAGCAGCTGACAGATTTGAACCATGTCCCTTCAAGATTTCAGCATGGATTCTTACCAATAGGCCACTAGACTTGTATAATGTCATTTGGATTTGAGGGACATGAAAACTTCTTTTGGGAAAGGTCTGAATTAAGATGTTGGCACTGAGTATACAAGAAGTGAGCTTTATCTCAGAGGCAAGTGTGATGAGACTTCGCCTCACATACTTCCGGCATGTTGCTAGGAGGGGCCAGTCCTTGGAGAGGGATATCATGCTTAGAAAGGTGGCGTGTCAGCAGAGGAGTGAAAGACCAGGTGGACTGACATTGTAACTGCTGCAGTGGGCTCTAGTGTGTCAGAAATTGTGAGAATAGCGCTGGATAGAACAATGTTCAGATCTGTTGCTTATGGGGTCACTATCAGTCTCACTGAACTTAATGGCACCTAGCAACAAGAACAACGTCCAAGAAGGGAATAAATTCAAGAAAAATTTGGGAAAGAGATTCCATAGTGCACAGCTAATTAAGTGCCTGACTAGTAGCCAAGAAATTGGTAGGCTGAAGCTACCCAAAGGAACCTTGAAAGAGAGGTCTAGCCATTTGCTTCCTAAAGTTACAGGCTAGAAGAATGCATAGGATGGAATTCTACTGCGGAGCATCTAGAGATGCAGGCAGTGGCTCCTGGTTGGCTTAGTTAGTTGATTATAAAGTCATGAAGAAATGGAATCCTAGAGAAGTCCAAGTTCAGATCAACTCGAGAGGTGGGAGAAATAGAGTTTTTGTTTCATTTTTTTTTTTTTTTTGTAATTGCTGTTACTGAGGAAGCAAATGTGGGGAAGTGATCAATGAAGATTGTTCATTTTGGTGCCTGATATTTTGAATTTGAGGTACCTGTTGTTGTTGTTAGGTGCTGTCGAGTTGAACATGACTCACAGAGGTAACTCGGGATTGCTGTGAAGCTGTACACTGTGACACTGATGAGTCAAATGTGAGAATGGTCACCCATGGCAGACAGTGTTTGGTGGAGCTCCGTGATTAAAGCAAGCTTGGAAGCAGGAGAAGCATCCACTTCCGAAATAGCTTGTATTCAGAAACTACAAATTTGGAGAAAGGAGGAAAGTTATACAAGTGTTCATGTCTTTCGT